TTCCCACTACACTCAATAGGATTAATTCCAAGGTAAGTGTGCATGCGATGCGGGTGGCGCTGTGGGTTAAACCACAGAACCTAGGACTTGCCGATCGGAAGGTCGGCAGTTCGAATCTCTGCGACGGGGTGAGCTCCCGTTGCTCAGTCCCTGTTCCTGCCAACCTAGCAGTTCGAAAGCACGTCAAAGTGCAAGTAGATAAATAGGCGGGAAGGTAAATGGCATTTCCATGCGTTGCTCTGGTTCGCCAGAAGCAGCTTAGTCATGCTGGCCACATGACCCGGAAGCTGTACAACGGCTCCCTCGGCCAATAAAGCGAGATGAGCACTGCAACCCCAGAGTCGGTCACGACTGGACCTAATGGTCAGGGGTCCCTTTACGTTTTTTAAGTGTGCACAAAACTACAGTCAAAACCTAAAACTTACATAGCCCTTTCCAAAGTCGTAGTAATTAAGAGCTGTGAATTATGGAAAGTGAGAAAGGGTAATTGAAATATTTCACTGGATCTAACATTGTAAAGATATGCTTTGCACAAACTGATTACAAACCATCCTATGATTACACTCATAGGATGCTTTGATTTATTTTCCCTTTTTCACCGCAGGTAAATCCTACAAGACCTGTAAAGCAGGACGGTGCCACACCATAAATAAGAGACTATATTAAAAAAGCCGAATACAATTTAGGATTTCAGTTTAGCAAACAACCACAGTACAGAACAAATGAGCAAGCATGTTTTGCCCCTGAAATCTAGCCAATGAACTTTCAAGGTCTGAAGGTCTTAAAAATATATGAGCATCTGTCTTGCATTAAAAAGCAAGCCAAAAAACCTCACTCCTTTATATTGCAATACCTTTTACTAATCAACAGCAATTCACTTTTGGCTGGCTGAAGTCAAATAGCTATTTATAGTCATCCAAGACAAAGTTGCTCTGCATTGTAAGTAGACCCCGGTGCCAAAGATTTGACATAGAAGACAAATGTCAGTGTCTTCTGCTCAGTGGGAGTCTCTCTCGCTCTGCTTTTACACAAAATAATGCTTCATTGTGGTAGGGCAGAAATGCCAAAATACTCACAAGCATGCAATTGAGTGCAAAGCTCAAACTGCATTCATCCTATGCTGGCAACTAAAAACTTTAGTCTTTGACAAGCCATCCAAGTCAGCAACAACATTTAACTGACCTTCCAATCTGTGTTTTGCGGGAAAGCAAAAGATTCCAGATACATCCAAGGTGAGTAAGCTAAATGTCAATGAAACAAAGAACGCTGCTCGACAGAAAAATGGGCTTTACCGCAACAAATTTGGCAGGCTGCCTTCCAGAACTTATAGCAATTTTGTGCAAATGTAAGTAGCATGTGCACCACCTCAAACAGAAAATATCTCACTTCTGGAGTATTATTCATAACTAATTGGAAACTAGGTTGCTGGAAAAGGGCACAGCAACCCTACAGCGGTTTCAGAAAGAGTCTGTAGTGGAGGAACTACCACTCTCAAAGTCTTACCAAGAATTGTTGTGGCCAGACAAAAGGAATGGTGGTGGCTTCAATGTGGGTTTGTTTTTCACCTCACCAGTTTTTCCTTTTTAAAATGTTCCCTCCAACTGTTTGCAATGGGAGATAAAATCATGCTACCATCAAAGGTGGCACAGTCCCCCCCCCCCCATTTCAGATATGTGACTAATATCTGGCACAACCGAAATCTACCCTGATCCACACTCCCATTTTGGTCTTACTGCCCTTGGAACACATCAGCAACAGAGCTAGAGCTTTCTGCTGCAGCAATGCGAAAGCCTCCAACCTCTGACAGCGAAGAGGGATGTTCACACTGTACAAAAGCTGGTCGGGTTCCTTTTCTGAGAGCTTAGGATTGGTCCAAGAGAAAATCAGTGTGTGAATTTTGCAACATGCTGAAAATACTAGCAACCCAGTTAAAGTAATCCATTGGAAATATGCATCTAACAAATACATTGCGCCAGACTGTAACACACCTGCAGCTCTCAATAATGTAGTTTACTATCATCAGTAGCTTTTTCAGAATTTACTACAAATATTTAATATTTGTGGGAAATTTAGAATGAATATAGGAGCCCAAGGATCAATCTAGCCCAGAATTCCATTTCCAATGATAGATGATGTTGTTTAGTAGTTTTACTAATGGAAATTACTTAAATTGACTTATAGACAAAATTGTCAATTGGGCATGAAGGAAAAAACCCTCAGCCGTTTCCCCCACTCCTTCTAGCATGTAGAAGAACACTGCCCCTGAACCTGGCTGTAATTTTTAACTAGCATGGCTGATGTCCACTGATAGATCAGACTTCCTTATGTTTGTCTAATTTCATTTAAAAACCACCTAAACTTGTTTCACCTTGTGGAAGCAAGTTCCATAAAATAAATGTTGAACAAATTTATTATCCATTCTGAATCAACTGTCAATCATTTGTGATTAGTAGTGTCAAATCTTAATAATATGAGGAAGAATGCCCCTCCATATTGCCATAATTTTATAAGCTACAGTAATATGCTAACCTTCAGTCATCTTTTTTCTATGCTTATAGTCTTTTCTCCATAGGGAATATACTCTAACACTTCAATCATTTTGGTTAACCTTTTCTGCACTGTAGCCAGATGTACAATTTCTTTTTAAGGTGCAGAAATTAAATCAAATGTGACTGTACCATGGACTTGCATATGAGGAGTATTATATGAGGCATTTTATTTTCAAGCCCTTTTCAATTATCCGCAGCATGGAATTTATTTTCTTCAGCACTACAGCTTAGTCACTAACTAAATGGTTTCATTGAGCTAGCCACCATGACCCCAAGAGTTATTTTCCTTGGGTGTTACCAACAATTTAAATCCTATTACCATATGTGAAGTTAGGATTCTTTTGTCCTAGTGTGCACCATGTTTCAACTGTTTACAAGGTGTTTCATTTGCCATTTTGTTGCCCCAAAACCTCTGAAGCTATATGTCACATACTACAAAAGATGTGGGTCTTCAAATTGTCCTTATTAAAAGGGCAGGAAGAGTAGTGACTTACTTATGAAACTACCATTTGAAAGTAAGTATTATGCATCCAAGTTTCTAGGTGCAACTCCCTTAAAAAAAATTGCAGTCTACCTGAACAGAAAATATAATTTTAAGTTTACAAGTATACATAAAGCCTAGTTTTATGATTTTGCAACACCAACACTAACCCAAATCAACCAAAATTATCCATTACTAAACAGTCATTTAATGGTTTTGAGGTCAATCCTGTTATAGCAACAAGAAATTCAGGATGTCAGCAAACAACAGAAACAGGAAAATCCCATATATTAAGAGTATGGAAATAAATTGCTACAAATTATGCCTAACTCAAAAGATTGAAATCAGTATCTTACTATCACTTTAAAATTATTAGAGCATGCAAGACAGGCATTTTTACATTTTGGGAACACAGCTAGTAAAAAAAACAACCACAAAGATGTTAGCCAGTACTGCCACCTAGGGCATACTAAAGGTAAGTACAATTTAAGGTCTATAAAATGCCAGATATAAGTGGGGAGGAGATAAGAAACTCAGCAATAATCATTAAAGGTTATTAAAGGCTTTACGATCAGTGGTATTTATAAAGCAGAACACTTCCACAAAATAATTTCTGAGTCAATGCCTACTTGGGCATTAACAGTTCCAACATAAAGCAACAGAGAGGAAGGAAGAGGTGCCACACCAACTAGAACCTCCGCTTCCCGGAGTCTGAATGTGCCAACTTGGGCCCCAGGTTATGAGTGCCCAGTGACTGTGACATCATGGCGTCACGCATGCCCCCCAGCCTCAGAACCTGACTTCTGGTGCTACTGGAAGTTGGGTTCCAAGGTCTCAGAAGACCATGGACAACATCTCTGAGGTCATGCAAGGCCTCGGAGATGCTGTCTGAGGCCTTCCGAGACCTCAGAAGTTGCGTGTGGGGCCCTGCGGTCTGGATGCTAAGCACCTACAACATTTTTGGGGGGTGTTTGGACACCCTTGAGCCTCCTATAGTTGGTGCCACTGGAATGTCCAGTGTGAAAGCTTGCAGGGATGGAGACTTTGTACAGGGTATGCACAAAAATGGAATACTGATTGTGCGGAGTTCCAGGTTGCATGAAAGCCTTCATGCATACCCAGGCACACACAATGGCTCTCTCCCTGTAGATATTTGTGCTATGTGCTAAGATGCCAAGGAACAGGGTTAATCAGTGTATGCAGTGTCAGGAGAATGACTACTCAACACAGTCCCACACCTTGTTCCTGCGTTGCTTATATTGGAATATCATTGGAACTTGAATAGAGTTCAGGGCTCACCATTTCTGAAGGGATAGCTAGTGAAGTCTTCCACATTTCTACAAAGCCTTACAAAGCCCAGATCCTGATGTCTGTTAATGAACTAGAAACCAGTTCCCCATACTCAGCTTGTTGCAAACCATGATCAGAAGCTTTACATTTCCTACATTCACACAAAAAGGAATAATCAGCAAACATGGGTGTTTGTGAGACCAAGTCCCACCATAACACTACATTTATTAAGCCTTGTCAGACAATAATAGGAATTTCAAAGTTTCCTGGGAATCTCAGTATTCCTTTTTTAAACATCCCCTTTAGCTGTAAAGATAATGTAATTAAATCTGTACTGAAGATCATAAAATGTGCCTTTTTACTAGTAAATTTGATGGATGCTTTCTCCTGCTTAGGAGATATACAACTATAGTTATAAGTTCTGTCAGACAGGTCAGACCCAGTTTCACTACAGGAGAAAAACTAGATAATCTTCAAGTCTTTCCAGTTTCACATTTCTATAATGAGAACTTCCTCAAAGGCCTGGATTTATGCTACTAGAAAAAGCCATCCTACAGCAAATGAAAGTCAGCTCTGTTCATTTTGCAGATATTGGGTAATATTAAATAATATTAAGACACTAGAAAGCATGGCGGCATATTCAAGCTCCTATACAATCCTGAGCTCAAATGTATCATTACCTGTAATTCTGTATCCATATGCAGCCAGTTGTCCAGCCATGTATTCTCCATCTGAACTATTATGAGAACATCCCCATGTGCGTATCCAAATTTTTTGTACACCAGGAATAACACTATCAAAGAAAAAGGCAACGAAAATAGGTAAGAGCATTCATTTCAATTCATCCACATCAGAAAACAAAGCTTTGGCCATTATAAAATACTACCACTTAGGATCTGTATAAGGCTATGATGACCAGTGCTCACAATATCCTTTGGCGAAGAAATTACTGTAAATGTATGATTTGCTGAATGTTTGTGTGAACTGCACAAAGTGAAAATATTAGGTATAGGCTTTTGATCCAATAGTGACAAAATGATAAGCATGGGAAAGAAGATGGACAAGGATCTTATTCCTGAAATGCTTGAGAAAAGAGTTAAATCATAAAATGTGAGCAGAAGAAGCTATCCAGCTTAAGGTAAGAGCACAGCTAAAGGGATACAAAGATACTGTTACAAGTACTGCTCCCACCCTTCTATATGAAATACCAAAACTGACTAACAGACAAAGCAATGCTACAGTCACATTTCTTCCAAAGGTAGAAAGCATCAGATCCACTGTAGTAATGGCTGTGGAGTGTTCGCAACATCCTTCCACCGAAGTCACTGGGAGATTAAGTTGTTTCAGACCCTCTTCTGCTGTGAATATGTTCATGCAATCAGGGAGGTTAGAAATAATCACAAACACTCTCTTCCCCTGTGTTGCTCCATTTTCAGGCAGAACTCTGCTGGTGGAGCAGTCAGCCAGCAGAGCTTTTCTGCCGTAACCCAATGGCATTTCTGCAGGTGTGTTTTCATCCCGTGCTTTCTGTCTCATCATAGGACCCCCTAAACTCATGAACAAGTAACGTGGGATTGCACGAGTCATATAATATTTTTAAATGCAATTTAGAATAAGTATTAAAACACATCACAGCTAAAACAATAAATAGTAGCAACTACATGTTGGAGGAGTGCACCTTTGGGGGTGAAGTCAAGCCACCAACCTTCTGGTTAACAGCCAGACCCACTGACCCACTGCGCCACAGGAGGGCTCATGCTCTCTGTAAGAGGGTAACTCACCACCATTTAGTGTAAGATCCCTATCTACACAAGAACATTAACAAAAGCCTAACTGGATCAGTCATAGTCTGGCATCCTGTTCTGACAGTGGCTAACATGAAGACTATGAGAAGTCTGCAACAAGGGAAGTATAATGGGCTACTTGTTTAGCTTTATACTCATAGACCCATTTTTCTCACTTACAAAGGACAAATGTCCTGTTACTTGAAATGCATGAGGTTAGAAAGAGAACTCACTATATTAAAACAGAATCAACCTAATACACGCTGTAGTCTGTGTAGTAAAATATTTCAAGTTATTAATATGTTCAACAAGGCTAAGACCTAAAGTTTTCAGGTTAGTTCAAGTGTAAATCATTCAGTCAGTACAAGTGCTGGTGTTTTCTATCTCTCCACATTGTTGTTGTTTAGTCGTTTAGTTGTGTCCGACTCTTCATGGCCCCGTGGACCAGAGCACGCCAGGCACTCCTGTCTTCCACTGTCTCCCGCAGTTTGATCAAACTCATGCTGGTAGCTTCGAAAACACTGTTCAACCATCTCGTCTTCTGTCGTCCCCTTCTCCTTGTGCCCTCAATCTTTCCCAACATCAGGGTCTTTTCCAGGGAGTCTTCTCTTCTCGTGAGGTGGCCAAAATATTGGAGCCTCAGCTTCAGGATCTGTCCTTCCAGTGAGCACTCAGGGCTGATTTCCTTCAGAATGGAGGTTTGATCTTCTTGCAGTCCATGGGACTCTCAAGAGTCTCCTCCAGCACCATAATTCAAAAGCATCAATTGTGTACATTAGTTATGCAACAAAAACCATCTCTCCACATACGACTGGCAAAAAACAAACATACCTGTCACTTGGGGGATCATCACAATCTGTTTCTACATTTTTTTGTGAATGGCGTTTTCGCACTTTAGGAATAACATTTTTTCTCCTGAACTGCAGGTCTTGCGGCTTTGGGTCTTGCTCTGAGATAATATCTTCAATGTCTCCAAGGAGGGAATCACAGACAGCAGGCATTTTCTATGAAGATTGAAGTACACCGTGTAAGATCAAGAACTGAAAAAATATACATACTATTCTACACAGCAAACATTAAAAACAATTCAGATATGGAGGAGTCCCATATGACCAGAGATTATGCCACTGTGCATTGGGTGAGGTAGAATCCACAGAGCACATTTTACTGAGCTGTCCCTTCTACAACGATTTAAGACAGTATCTTATAACTCCATACTTACCCCAGCTCAGTTCCCAACAAAGAGGAAAGCAGACAGCATATCTGCTAAATAAGTCTTCTGGGAAAACAACTTTGTCAGTGGCTAAATTCCTTTTCCTGGCACTCAAGTGTCGGAAACGTATAACTGAATGCTTTGATGTGGGTTATCTATGAGAGGTCTAGTACTGTGGCCCTACTTTATTTATGTACCCCTATGATGTTATAATTTATAATTATTGTGTAATGTTTTATTTCTGACTATCGGTCGAATAAAGGAAATTGATTGATTGATAAAAACAATTCCTCATGTCTTTTTAATAATACAGCAACACAACTAGACTATAATTTATTTATAAAACTGTTAACCCAATATTCATTAAAATACTTAAATGCCGTTAGAGACCCTACAGGTAGAAAAAATGACCCAATAATTAATAATGCATTTTAAACAGCAGCACTGAATCAAGCTGGGCACCTGAGTTTTAAATAAGAATCAATGTGACTGATATTTCCATATATGTTGATGAAAGCTTATCTCATGGGTTGCAACACTGCATCCACAGGCACACATGTGCCAACAGATGCCTTCTCTATTGCTCATAGGGTCCACTCCCTGCCCCAGCCAAAATTAAGTTTGAAAGAAACATTCTACTTTAGTGGAGTAGGTTGTGAAGCACATTTAAGTTGTGATGTGTGCATGTGATGCCCTTGACCACTTTTCCGGGTTACAAACTTGCCCTTTGGCCCAAAATGATTGGTGACACCTGGCTTATCTAATGCCAGAAATAAGAGTACCTGCTAGCATTATAACCAGTACATGTTTTAAGTAATACAGTGGTACCTCGGGTTAAATATGCTTCAGGTTACATATGCTTCAGGTTACAGACTCCGCTAACCCAGAAATAGTGCTTCAGGTTAAGAACTTTGCTTCAGGATGAGAACAGAAATCATGCTCCAGAGGTGCGGCGGCACCAGGAGGCCCCAATAGCTAAAGTCGTGCTTCAGGTTAAGAACAGTTTCAGGTTAAGAACGGACCTCCAGAACGAATTAAGTACTTAACCCGAGGTACCACTGTATCTTAATTCACTATACAAGACAACATTCCATGTGCCTTTTATCAGTTTGTAACAATGGATAATAACAGATTAGCTAAATATTTTGCCTGGAATATTAGGCCCTTTGAAATTTATCTAGTTCTGGGTCTTCAGTACACACATCCCTAGTTAGATGAAGTACTGAGCTCACAAACAGGTGCTACACATGTGGTTCCCATTCTACTCAGTGTCTATATACACACAACTGAGTCTGAAATTTGCTGATAATGCTAATTAGCATCTCAGAAGATGTAACAGATATTTATGCTTAGTATGATGGCACATTATCTTAAAGAACTAAGCACCCAGTAAAAACAGATGAATGCATCTTGTTTATCTGGGCCCTAGCTGTAAACCCACTATAGTTCTTAGCAATTTAAACTATAACCCAGCAACACTAAATAGCTTATTTTAACAACACTGAACCTTAACTTACTATTTTATCTTTGGAGTTCCAGCATTTTTTTATCCTGAAGAAAATCAAAAGGTTTTCAATCATAATTATACTTTCTATAAATCACCAAGGCTGAGGCAAATTGATATGTTTCTACAGATACTTAATAAATGATTCAAAATGCCTAAGTCATGGTTCCATCCAATGATATTTCATATATGTATACACAGACGCAACAGATTCTACTTTGAGGAAAACTGGGAATGAGCCTTGGGATTGCATATTCCTTCCACCATTTCCCTTAGTTTGGGGGAAAATGAATGAAAGAACTAGTGAAAGAACTTGCCTTTCTGCTACTCATTTTATCCATGCTGGTATTCCTTCCTAATCCCATCCAACCAGCAGATGCAGGAATACACTGTTGTCTTATGTACAAAGAATGAATGAATAAATTTAGAGTATTTTGAAATTCTAAATAGTGTATTATAACATGTTTTCCCCCCTGAGGTTTGGATTCATGTAAGTGTGTGTGTGTGTGTGTGTGTGTAGGTGTGTGTTCATTTTCATCTTCAGCTTGTAATTTAATAATAATAAATGAGACATATTTCTTAAGAAGCCTGACTGCTAATTTGCGTATGCAAGTTCAAGGCCTTTCTACTGGCTGATATGGATATGAATATGATGGAAACTCGTTTTTCAAAATCTTTTTTTAGAAATGTAAACCTTTGGGGGGGAGAGACTCACAGCATCTTGTCGCGGAAAACATTACATCCCACAACATTGCTGGATGCTTCCCTCGCTAGAAAACTGCAAGCTTCGCACACCAGCTGCGTCCTCGCTTTTCCTAGGGGCCACAAAAGGCACCCTGGATCAGACACGCAACGTCGTCTTCACACGTTTGTGGCTCGAACCCCAACAGCCGAAGTTGAAAACTCTACGGCGGACCCCTCAGTCCCGCCAAAAGCCCTCAGCCGCTTTCCCCGGGCACAGCTGCGAAGAGGTTGTACCGAGAGAACCGGGGGTGGGGTGGAGTGGCAACCCCGAGGTGGCTCCCGTGAGGGACATTCGCGGCGGGGGGAGAAGAGGGAGGTGGGCCGCGCTGACGGGAAGAGAAACGGCTCGCGTCTAAAGGCGACGCGACACGTGAAAGCTGAGAGGGAGAAGCTAAAGGAGGAGAAGGGGCCATATGGGCCCATTCTGACCGCCGCGCCCCCACTGCACGCTGCGGGCCGCTTTCACGGCGGGAAGCCGTTACTTAGCCCGCTCGCCCACCCCACCCGTCGACCGGCGGCAGCAGCAGCAGCAGCAACAACAACAACAACGAAAAGTTTACCTGCGGAACCTGACGCGCTTCTCGCCTCACATGGACGACGCCATGATGGAACGCCGCCCCTCTACGCAGCTAAACGGGAAGGAGGGGAGAGAGAGAGAGAGGAGAGAGAGAGAGAGAGAGCTTTCGACGGCGTCCGGAAAAGGACAAATTTAGGCCGTTTGGCAGCTTCGCGCAACGGGGAGAAGAAAGGACATGAGAGATTCTCCTAAGTGGTGTGATTGGCTCCCGAAATAGAATCGCGGTCTGATTGGACGGGGAGAGCCAAGAAGGGTCCCGCCTTTCCCGTCACAAATTCTGGAGCAGCTTGAAGGTTAAATTCATCCCTTTCCTGGGTGGGTTATGTTGTCCGTAGGAGTACGTGTCGCTGTCCCGTCCCAATCACACACACACACACACACACACACACACACACACACACGTGTCTACTGAAGCATGCCTTTAAATAGTAATAGTACTCTAATAGTAATAGTAATTTAAAGGAACAGGTGGGAAATCGCTTATTTAGGTTTGAAGCGGAAACCTTGCTGCGCCTGGTTTGCTGGAAGTGAGTTGCAATGAAGTAGGTGGACTTCCCTAAGGTTGGGCTGTTACCGCCCAAAAACGCTCTACAAATATATTGGCCAAAACATAATTAAAACTGCCATTCAACACCTAGGTTATTTAGGACATTAGGGAGCTACTTGCGATGAAACAGGTCAAACAGCAGCTAGAGCACAGGTGACACCAGTCCTGAGATGAAGACAGAAAACATGGTAGAGCACATAGAAAGTTGGGGTACTTTTAATGTTTATATTTTAACTTTTGTATGGTTGTGAATTTTTCCTATCTTTTTGTAACTGCCTTGAGGGTTGTTGTTTTTTACAATCACCATAAAGTGTGTAAATTTTATGAAATAAAGGCAGAGAAAGGGACCTATTTCATTGCTTCTATTATTTTGAGGAATATGCTACAGGACAGGCCCTTTGGGACCCTTGCCTTTCACAGCTGATTAAAGCTAGGCAGGGCTTGGTGAATGCATCTCTGCACACGGAGGTGGCAACAGCCACTTGTGGGGGGAAAGCTACCCTGGATTTTATGGTATTTAACAACTACCATCCTGTTGCAAATAATCTTTTGGTCAAAGTATTTGAGAGGGTCATGACACACCTGCAGGCATTCCTGGAGGAATCTTGATTAGCCCCATTTCAATCTGTCTGTGGTGTAGTGGTTAAGAGTGGTGGACTCCTAATCTGGGGAACCGGGTTCGCGTCTCCGCTCCTCCACATGCAGCTGCTGGGTGACCTTGGGCCAGTCACACTTCTCTGAAGTCTCAGCCTCACTCACCTCACAGGGTGTTTGTTGTGGGGAGGAAGGGAAAGGAGAATGTTAGCCGCTTTGAGACTCCTTTGGGAAGTGATAAAGCGGGATATCAAATCCAAACTCTGATTCTGTCTTGTTCTTCGGATTTGGGATTGAACTGAAGTCTGCAGCTGGTGCAAAACACAGCAGCTGCTGCTTGTGGGAGACAAACTACCACTAGCACATACCACCTTTAAGTTTTGCACTGGCTGCCAATCTTTTAGGGTGTTGTACTAGCATAAGGCCCTAAACTACCTGGAAAAGCCCGATTCCTAGTTTGCAGGATTCCAAAAATCACAGGAGCCACAGTAACTCAAGAGCAGAGCTTTTAGGGTGGCTGCCTGTTCTGTGAAATAGCATTCCTGTTGAGACACAACAGGTGCCCTTTATGTAGACTGAAGACACTTTTGCTTCAATACTCTCCTGGCTGGATAAATGGGAAATAAGTATGCATTTTGCATTGCTGAGTTTTGTTTAAATGTATCGCTTTTTGTGTTTTTAACTGTATGTTGCTGTTTTTATTGTACAACACCTTGAGATGATTATTGTTATTCATACCATCAAACAACCATGAGCAGCCCCAGTTTATACCCAGTCAGTTTCTCTTTCGTGTTAGGAAAGCAGGGTGGCTCAACCACTGTGCAGCTATGGTACATTTTGCTCACGGATCCTAAAGATACCTTCCCTGGTATACACTGCTTTGCCAAAGCCATTGCTGTAGCTGGGGAGGAAATGTAACCATAATGCTGAAGAATTTATATACCGATATAAAGCTTTATTGATTACCATAAAAAAATCTGTCAGGTACATACATTTGAAGAGTCAATATCACAGCTAGAACAGGTTATCTTTATAAATGCAAAGCTGTTTGGTTGTTTTGTTTTTACATTATTTTACAGATTTGTAGAACTAGCATACTATTCAAAGGTATATTAAGGTTAGTATTTTGCTCACACATTGGGGAAGTATGTAAATTGTACAAAACAGCATACAACATTAGAGTCCCCCTTTTTTCATTCTACCCACAGAGATCCCCTTCATACCACCAAAGTGTTCATGCTCACAGCGCTTTTACTTTTTCTCCACAAGACAAACTTTAAATACTCTATTTTATTTACAGACCCACAGTAAGATTTTTCAAGAAATTACAAACCAGCTATAAAATATTCTTGGCAGGTTTTACAAATTCATTCCTATTGTACAAAACTGTTAGATGACTAAAGTTTAAGAACATACAACTTAAATAATCAATGGAATAACTATGCACATGTTTGTACACAAACACACTTAACACTGTTTAACAGTTCTTAATGTGTTGCCTTTTTCACACAATTATATTCCAAGGCTCACTCATACAGCTTTCATACTGTTACTCAGCCATTTAAATTGTGAGTGTTTATAGCAGCATATCAGTGGTACCAGAAAATCCGCACATATATATTTAAAACAAACATTCTACTAATTTATTAATCATCAGATAGAAAAAATACAAACTGCTAATTCATCTAAAGTGGCAACATTTTACACAACTGTGTGTAAGATGTATGAATGGTATTAGTTTCAGAACACATACCCTAAACCAGCAAAGTGTTATAAATTAAAATTCACTACAGAGAGTACTGACAGGTATGTTATTTACACTTTGGGTGAAATGTCAGCTTTGTATCAGCTCCCAAAATTGGAAGCAGAGGCAACTAATCCACTAAAATAAACACAGTGTTCTGAATAAGTGAAGCTTGGCATAAATAGTATCCCTTACAGGAAGAAGCCCACAGTGCAACTCTAGTAGGCACTTAACACAAAGCCCCACTTCGTACCACAAAATGTTTACGTACCAGTTCTATTGCACACTGCGGACCATGAAACTTAACATGTGTGTTTTTATTTTATATTTAACAAGTGACTTCCTCACATATAGAATTTTTAAATTTCTAGTTCCTATGGCAAAGTGGTCACCCTGATCCAGCTAAAGGTTACAGGCACGTGGAAGCAGATTTCCACACAAGTATTCAAAAAAGTGGGTGGACAACTTCACAAAAATGTGTACAATTCCCAGCCTTGTCCAACACATGGGGATGTGCGCTTGTAGCTCTTTGGGGGTAGTGAAATCCCATCGACTGACTGTCCAGGAGGGAGACTAAGGAGCTGGATTGTATTTACCCTGTCCACTCTCCTCCTCTCTCTGTTAAACAGCTGGTCTACAGAACTTCAGTTTTCAAAAGGTTAGTTAGGGGTGTGATCCTGGCTGTCCCAGGTATGCTGTGTTGGACTTGGGCCACCATTAGTTTGTTTTATTTAGAACTGCAATACATTTTTATATAAAAACTCCTCCAAGATAGAGACATGGAGAAGATTTCAAACATTCCACAAAAGCTTTGGAAGAAGTCCATCTCACATCTTTGTGTATTTTGCACTTTTTTTGCAATTACTATGACGGAACATACAAATCAAAGACTCAAGACACACACTCTACGGAAGGCACAGTTTGAAATATAAAGGAATAATTGCTATGTGTGACTAAAACTGTTCTTCAGCCCTTCACAAAGCTTGTAGACACAAGAAAGTATAATCATTCCTCCATTTCAGATTTCATCCTTCTATACTTTGCTAAAACCAGTAGCTACCAGAACGTGGGATTGAGGTAACTCTGATGAGAAAGTCTGCAGTTCTGTGTTTGCACTATTCTAGAATTATTTTTCCCCAAATATCAAGCATTCCAAATTATGATATTGAAAAGGGACAAGGATTAAGAGGTAAGAGAACAGAGAACATGGAATGACAGCAGGTACTCTGGTTTCATTTTAAAAATATGTGGGGGGTGCAGAGAGAGGGGGGGGGGGAAAAGAGACACAAGGGATAATCAGCTGCATAAAAATTCATCTACCAATGCTGGCAATTTTTCAAAATCATAAGAATCAAAGAGGTCACTGATACCCTCCTCTTCGCCAAGACTGATCAAATAGTCTTCATGAAGTAGAGGCGGCAGCAAGCTTACAAATGGCCCTTCCAAACCTGATGCAATTTGGTCCTCTGTCTGCTGCAGAAGGTTGGTTGGAGAGGCCAGTGGGGAGATGGTTGCTGTAGTTACTGAACAGTCAAGACTTCCCGAGTTATCAGAAATCAAATCTGTTTCAAGAAATAGCATTATTTTTTTAAAACGTGTAAGAGGGTTGCACACACGATTTTACAATATTAATGCAAGTCAATGTTTCCCCCCTCCCCTTCCCACTCAGCCCTTCCCTTCAAAGTCTATTGTTGCTGTCTCTACACAGCTTATCTTGGTAGACAAAACAATTTAGAAAGTGGGTAAGTTGCTCTGAGCAATAAGAATGCATCAGAATGATTGGGATACAAGTCTTTCCCTCCCTTTGGCTGTGTTCAGTGCGGAACAGGGGTGACCTTTAACACGAGCAGGGGTGCACAAAATTGTGATCTCTGGGGTGTGGGAATAATTCCTGGCGGTTGCTTCTATCAGGTGCAGAGTTCATCTCAAGATGCCACTGGAGAAGTCAGCACAGCTATTTGGTCTTTTGGCCATGCTAGTGTAACAAAGGGGTTTTTAAGGCTGTATTTGTTCAAAGTAGTCCTACTGAAATGAATGAAACCAAGTCAGCCGTGTCCTTAAATTTCCATGGGTCTACTCTGAGTAGAACTACCATTGGATACAATACCAAGTCTCATGTGACCTTTTATAAAAAGAAAGAAGTTTCATTTCTCAATGCTGAATGTTACACACACAGCCTTATATCTTAGTGGCCAAGAGGTGGACCCGAAACAACCAAATAACAATTATTCTGGAGATAAATGAAAATAAAGTTATCAGAGGATGGTTGTACGTAAAGCAGCCAGGCTAAAACTGAAAGCAAGGACAAGGCGAACGTCAACAGACACAGCTCAAGTTAACACTATCTTTTTCAACCAGCAGCTATTTGGAGTAATTGCTGCAAAAAGAATGCCTTCCCAAATAGGGATGACATTTTATTGGCAAGACACACCCAGGTGATGGTGGGGAGGTCTTTAGCCCTTAACTCTCCCCCTCTTGCAACATATGGACATCACCTCCCCACACAGCGGTTCTCCATCCTGTTAAGAAGACAGGAGGGTTGTAGCAGGAGAAGCATTCTTCTGATTGTAAATTGTGTTGGCTGCTTTTAATACTGCATGTTTACATTCTTGTAACCTGTCCTGGGAAGAGCGGCATTGCTGTCAACTGTTCCCTTTTCTTGCGAGGAATCCTATTTGGAATAAGGGAATTTCCCTTAAAAAAAGGGAAACGTTGACAGCTATGAAGAGCAGGTAAGAGCAGACCCAGTAGACAGTTGCCTGGCCCTCGACGAAGCAACGGCTGCAACTTGTGGCAAATGCAAGTAGTGACAATACCTTCCTTCCTGTCCCACCAGCCAAAAGCCACCTTCTGAGCTATGGAAAACTCATCTATCCTCTTTCCCTTTTTTGCTCTGCCTCACATGCTCTGAGCATCACAAAAGTTTTGGAACTTGACAGAGCATGTCTCTTACAATAGACAAAAATAGTCAGCCACCACTTTTAAGTGACAAGAGATAATTCATAAATGACATTACCTATCATGCATAAATAGGCAGCTCATAGTGATAGCCTTAACCTGTACATGCATGAGTGTACATGCACAGCAGAATTAGTTTATGGTCCGTGATTTTCCACATCCACCAACCCAGACGGCAAGCTCAGGGCATGGAAGTACTTACAATCAAGGCGATATTCTGAATAAAGTATGACAACGTAGAAGGGGAAGGTACATTCCCCCCCCCCCGCCGTAGCATTCATTCTTCCTTTAGTCTAAAGAAATCTAGCATTCAGCACATCATTTATTAACTGAACAGACTGAATTATGCTTTCCCTTTAATTATACTTGGTCAACACAATTTTAAAAGGTAAAATGTTACCTTTGGAAACATTCCTTGATATATTTCCATTATGATCCTGATCTTGCATTTTCATTGGACTGTGGTAATCTGTTTCTTCTGGACACAAGTAAACTTCAATAGGCCCCTGGGTACTAGATAAGTGTATCAGCTTATTCTGCAAAGACAAAATATCCCCATTTTCAATATGTCTTCTGCCAACAAAATGCTACAAGCGGCTACTGGAGATTTATGGTTCATTTTTATAAGGTCCAGGGTGCTAATCAAAGTCAGTTTTGTGTGGAAGAGTAACATGTTTCTGCAAGGGTCTGTGCACATTTAATCATGCAGGTGAGACTGCTATTCATTTACAAATGATATAAAAATCATGCGTAAGGAATAAGTAGATGGCACATTCTCTTCCTGAACATCAACCTTTGTCTCAGGACAACATATTAAAGTACTTCATATGCAACCTCACAATCCATTTCACTCTTAATATACTAAAAGTGCAAGTCTGTGTATACCTAAAAAAGGTAAAGGTAAAGGTACCCCTGCCCGTACGGGCCAGTCTTGACAGACTCTGGGGTTGTGCGCCCATCTCACTTAAGAGGCCAGGGGCCAGCGCTGTCCGGAGACACTTCCGGGTCACGTGGCCAGCGTGACAAAGCTGCATCTGGCGAGCCAGCGCAGCACACGGAAACGCCGTTTACCTTCCTGCCAGTAAGCGGTCCCTATTTATCTACTTGCACCCGGGGGCGCTTTCGAACTGCTAGGTTGGCAGGCGCTGGGACCGAGCAACGGGAGCACACCCCGCTGCTGGGATTCGAACCGCCGACCTTTCGATCAGCAAGCCCTAGGCGCTAAGGCTTTTACCCACAGCGCCACCTGCGTCCTCTGTGTATACCTACGCAGGAGTAAATCCTACTAACCTTACTAGCATTTACTTCTAGTAAAGTATGTATAAGATGGTAGCCTAGCCTAAGGAAAAGCCCTGCATAGGTTGAAAGCTTACAAACCAATAGAGAATTGGTCCATCAAAATATACTGCTAATGCTAAACAGGCCAGCAGCAGAGCATATGCCCGCAGAGTGCGCCCTCCACAGGCCACAGTTCAGGGTTAGGAGAGGGGCGGGGAAGCTGCTGCCCACTCTCCTCCCGTTATGGTCTGACCTGGCAGAGATGCCTCGCAGCTCAGGAGGGTGGGCAGCAGCATTGCCACCGATTCTCCAGCTCTCCGCCGCCGGGTCAGAAGTGACTTGGTGGTAGAGCTGCTGCAGTGGCCGAGGATGGTGGGCAGCAGTGCTGCTGCCCACTCACCTGCTCTCCTTCCCCAGGTCAGGCCTGACCCGGGCTCCGCAGAGCTGCGCCAGGCACAAGCGGCGCAGTCTAAGTGCAGCTCCTTCTGGCACGGAGTCAGGTTCCAATGAAGGAGCCTGCTGTGGGGGCGCCTGTTTGCACCCCCTCTCAAAATTGGTCCTGGGAACACGGCACCTACAGCACCCCTCTGTTTGCTGCCCATTCCAAATTGCCTAGCTGAAGCCTTCTTAGAGGGGTATTGCAGCGGTTCTTGCAATGGTTGATTTTGAAGTGTTACGGTACTCTTTCCCCCCCTTTTGCTGTAAGCGACTTTGATTCTTTTTGTGGAAAAGCAGCATACCAGTAAAATGGTGAATGAAAAATAAATGAATGTTAACGGCAGGTGGGTGTGGCCTGCCCAAAATGGCCTGGTGGACCAAACTGGGAGGCTTGGCGGGCCAGAGGTTCCTCACTGCTGTCTTAGAAGGTGGAAAAGCCAATATTTATTTTTAAAAAAATCAAATTAGATTGAGAAAGAAGTGCAGGGTGGAAAGTCAGTGTAAGAAACAGCAAGACACAAGGCACAAACACTACCATGAGTGAATAATCACAGGGGGTGGTAGCAGACCAACTTATCAGGGAACAGAATGAGCAAAAAAAGATGAATGAGACAGCATTAACCAAGATCGAGTCAGAAGGAAAGAGAGGCATAGAAGAATGATCTCCCAGGTTCCAGAAACCAAAAAATTAGAAGACTGCCCATTAGCATTTTTATTGCCATATAGAAAAATGATCCCATTCAGTAAAGCTTATGCATAAATATGGTATAAGACCACTGCCAATGTTACACATTGTGTAAGATTGACTTACAGAAGAAAAACCATAAGCATTTTATTCTTACCTCTATTGGGTCAGGCACTTCAAGTTTTGTTTCTGGAGGAGCTTTCACAAGTATGACAGTTTGGTCTTTAAGGCTACTTATTTCCTGAATGTCTTCATATTTAACATAAGCTAATGTAAACTTTGTTAAAGAATTGTTCAGCAGCAGCCTTCAGTCACATGTATCAGCACACTAAAGTAAATATTCTTACACTGTTCCCCCATCAAGGCTACCGTTAGCTGCTCTCCCCCCACTTCTAATACTAAATTTAAAAAATAAATAAGAATGAAACTGAAACAGCCCTGAAGTTAGACAAAGCGAGGAACGATGAGATTTCTTGGCTATACTTCACATTTTTTTATTATGAAATAATTTGTACGGTTTTTAGAAATTACACCAACAAATCAGTCTTGTATTAACTAGAATCCAAACAGTGTTGAAGTCAGCTGCTACTGCAGAACATCAGTCCTAGTTTGAAAAATATTATTATTATAATTTATTTATTACCCACCCTTCACCCAAATGTCCCATGGCAGGTTGCACAATGAAAAAGTTTAAAATCGCTTACTTACATGCGATTTAAAATTATCAGAATAGCTATAAGTAAGCATCATGCCTGCTGCAGTATATCATTAATACCACCAATACAATCCACTACCCCTAGCCGTTAGAGAAATGTTAAGATTTCCCAAATGAGTTCAGCCTATCTGACATAAAAGGATATCTCCGATTCTCAGAATCTTCTCTTAGTAGCTTTAGGTCAAGAGAGCAGTTTTTTATCAACTCGTCCAACTTTTGCTCTTCCTGGTTGAGTTCTGCCACCTCCTTGGACAAGCCTTGACAGTGTGCCAACATGCCCCCAAAGTCCGATAGACTGCAGCCCCTACAAGACAAGTGAACAGACACTTCACAGGCATTCCTAAAGTTCCCCGGTCCAGACGAGACAAGAGTTTCTCTTAAAACTTCATGTGACTATTCAGTTCAGAAGAAGCTGAGTGCTGAGAATTTGGCAAGCCACATCGTCTGAAAAACTAGCACATCAAAGCAAGCTGGCGAGAGGTGAGGCTTAACAAGATCTCTTTTTAAAAACATTGTTTCACTTTATTCCATACATATACAGAGGGATTTCCAGATTCCACCCATGATTATCTCATTCCTCCTTCTGGAAGGATGGTGTGCCTTACCTGATGTGCAAAGATAACAAAACACCATTTACTAATGGCATTTTGGGCATAACTTTCTTTTAGTGGCAGTGACTCTTGCTGCATGTTTGAAAACGCTCTCTGGTTCCATTTGTTTTTGTCATTTACTTTTAAGATTCAGTGTTTTCACATAGTTATTAATAACGAAGAGCTGCCGCGCCTGCTTGCTCTGCTAACTAATCCCACCTATCCCAACCCCACTCCCCCCACACCTGGCCAAGCCCTCCTTTCTTTACACCCAGCCCAGCCCCCCAAGCTGCACACTTCCTTCACAGCACACTTTATAGCTGACCCCCAACTCCCAAACCCTTTTAAAGGAGGGTAGGAGGTGCTTCAGAGAGCTGGTTGCCAACATGCTCCCCGAAGCACCTCCCACTTTCCTATAAACAGTGCAGCCATGTGAACTGTAGCATGATCACATTCTTGCAATTTCATTATATAGTAAGAAATGTGGGGGTGGGGGTGGGAGAGAGCCTCTTCTGGACCTTTGGGTAGTGGATAGTGGGGTGCTTCTCCACTTGGACCCAAGTCCAAGCAGGACCCCATTATAAGAGTTTCAGACTAAGAAAAAAATTGATTCTCATTTCTTAGTCCAACCATTATATTCCGTTTTAGAAGAATTAAGTCAAAGCACATAAGAAATGCACATGTGCTGCAAAGTATCTTTTTGCCAAGGGATCAATACCATCAAGTATCAAAATTCTCAAGTTGAATGTACGCCACCTCCATATCTGGATCAAATTTAAAGTTCATCTCATTTAATGGGAAGTACATGGCTATGAACTGGAAACTTCTGGTTCAAATTTCAACTCAGTCATGAACTCATTATGTAGCTGTCGGGTGAGCCACTCTTCCAAGCTCACCCCAAAATATCCACCACCGTATTAAAACCAAATTTCTACTGAGGCTATGCTCAAGCTTCAGAACAAGCAAACTGTTACTGGACGGCGTGGGGGAGAAGGCAACATCTTGCATTCCTACACCCCACGATGTTCCCTTGCCTTCATATGCTTCCTATGCAAGAGGAACTGATTGAGTTTCTCTCTCAACAGTACTGCTGGTGTAACGTGTCTACTTGAGCTGGGGGTGTCTAAAATCACACCTGCACCATGCATAGACATCTCATGGCTTTCCCCAAAGAATCCTGGGAACTGCAGTTTGTTAAGGGTGCTAAAATGGCTCTCTGGAGGCAAACTGTATTTCCCATGATTCTTTGGGGGAAGCCATGACTGTGTGGTATAAATGTGCTTTTCATATGCATGGTGTGGATGTGACCCAAATTGTCCCTGACCACAGCTCAAAATGCTTCATGTGCATTATTTAAGCATAAGCTTAAACATGCAAAATTTGATCCCTTTCTGGACTGTAGCTCTGAATTACAAGTGAAAATATATATATTTGTTTTTTCCCTAGGCAAGTAAGTCCCCAGCCGAGGAAAGATAGTGGATAAGGAGAGTAGAGGGCTCACTTTCCATAATATGCCAGTTTCTACATACAGAGAAGTTGCTTTTATTTTATTTTTTAAAGAAATGTGAAAATATGCCAGCAACCGCGCTCCAAAATACAATATCAAGGAAAGGGCTGTGCTACACAATATTTCTAGATGCTTGAGTAAGCCATGAGAATGTAGCTGAATCACTTTGGGCACATCAGAATTCAGTTGTCTGTCTCCACTGGTAGCCAGAGGACTCCAAGCAGCTCATAAGCAAGACATGTTGTAGGTTTGTCCACAGCACCTGACAAGCAGAGGGATGCTGCCTCTGAAAAAATATTCATCTGATTAAGTATTATGGGCAGTGGTTTGCAAGCCACCATTTCCCAATGGATTCCATGTGATATGTGGCCTTGACTATAGCCAATCCAAACACACAATGTCAGACCACGTAATAAGATACCTCCATGAATGGCAGGATTAAATTTCCCTGGGTGGTATTCAACCATGTTTTACTCAGAGTAGATTTAACTTAGCGGTGTTCATTGATTTCAGTAGGCCTACTCTGAGTAAAGCTTAGTGGAATAACTCGTTACCCTCCAGCATACAAAATACTTTCGTGACAATGAAATGTGAAAGTGCAAGGCCGTCCTGTAGGCAACAAGAATATAGCACTAGGATACTTACATCCACTGAATGTTGTTCTTGGATTTTTTTTTAATGAGGTGAATGCCTTCCAGGACATTGGTGATGTCATAAATCCTCCTTTTTTGTACCTTAAGGACTTCTGCTGCTTTGTTCAAATCTACGACACCGTCTGGGGACTGGCTCAGAAGCTGAACGAACTTCTTGGTGAGAAGACCCAGCGATGTATCGTATCGCGTCTTTTCTGAAGGGGATTTAGGAGCTTGAAGAAAAATTAAATTCATGATGATTGTGAAGTTGGTGTTAAAACTCTTTTTTAAACCTTATGAGTAATTGGGAGTAATCGTGTGCATTGTACACGGGACCACTCAGAGCCAGTTCAACATTATACATCCACAGAGTAGCTAGGCTCCAGTACCTTTTTCCATTGCTTTTCTCAAGACATGTTAACTTTCAAGCCATATCTATTGTATAAAGAAAAGACAGTGCGAATAAACTGGAGGCATAGCTTTGCATGTAAGAGAAAGGTAGAAAGTGCTTCGTGATTCTGTGCATCACCAGCTTGTAAATAACAAGCTAACAGAAGCTTTAAAAACAGTTGCCTCGGTTCAACCACCCTCCAGTTATGACCAATACCTCTGTTGTGACGTTCAATGCAACTCCTAACATTTTATGCATTTATTTTCAATGTGTGTATCCTGCACTGTGGCCCCAAGAGCAGCTTTTAAAAAAATCTGCATTCACATTCAAAATAATTTGCACATATAAATCAGAAGCAACATGGCGGGCACGTTTATTCAGAAGGCTCAGTCTATGATGGAGACAAAAGTTCCCCTTACTTGTACTAGGCAGTTTCCAAGCAACAGTCATACTGAAGACCTCAAAAGCAAGGGAGTGAGGCAAATGGCTAGAACTCACTCAATGCATGATGAACGTCAAGCCTTTCTTTGTTGGCAATAACCTTGATTTTCCACAATTCTAGAGCATGAGGGGACAAGTAGCCCCCACTTCAGAAGATTTCCTTCCAAGACATGGAGGGCAATTGCAAAGGCAACCCACATGTATGTGCATAAAACTAGCTCACTTTCATCTGCTATCCCCTACCCTCACTTTCCACAAGCTAGAGAACACACGAAGAAGACTAATATCTAGCTCAATAGCAGTACCTGTGGCCTTCCAGATACTTTGAGATAGAATCACAGACTTGTACAGTTGGATTGGACTACAGCTCCTATCAGCCCCGACCACCGGCCATGCTGACTGGGGCTGATAGGGGGTATAAGCATATTTGGGGAGCCACAGCTTCCTCACCCCGACCACTGGCCATGCTGACTGGGGCTGATACCCCTATAAGCATATTTAAGTATAAGCATATTTGGGGAGCCACAGCTTCCTCACCCCGACCACCGGCCATGCTGACTGGGGCTGATACCCCTATAAGCATATTTAAGTATAAGCATATTTGGGGAGCCACAGCTTCCTCACCCCTGATCCTGCATACATGGTAGAACAATACTGCAATGTGAGACAGGGGCTGATAATTTTAGAGCAAAAACCACCATGAAGGGTACCTGAGAACACACTGAATGCACTGGCTTGATCAATGGGCAAGGAGCAGCGATTCAAAATCCAGAACGGTAACATAGTGCTTTGAAGCTCTTTGCAACACATTTAACCAAAAATGTTCCTTACTTTTGGGACTATCTGGACTTCTAGTTGCAGCTCTCCCTTTCCCCTTCGGCGTTCTTAGTCCTTCAGCCAGAAACTGCTGTCCGCTTCCTCCCAGTTCCAGTCTTCGCTTTGCCTGTCAAAAGAGCAGAGTTCTCGTAAAGATGAAGTTGTGCTTTACAGGACCTAGAAATTATTATAGTCAGGAGGTGAGCCAGGAAATCCATGTATCTTTCTCAACTTCTTAGGTGCCTGTATATATTGTAGAATGCTTTTATTTTGTTGCAGACACCCCCCCCCCCAAAGGCTCCCTCTTAATGGTGTTCTGTAACACAGAAACTCACAAGTGCTTCAGGTTGAAAGCCTGCATATTCCTGCATTGATAAGTGCATAGAATCATAGAACTATAGAGTTGAAAGGGACCCTGAGAATCATCTAGTCCAAACCCTGCAATTCAAGAATATGCAGACGTCTCATGCAACTGGTACATCTTGAGGCTAGGATCTGAGGCCCCCAAAACAAAGACTGTGATCACAAAGTTTTCCCCACCTCCTCATTATGCAGCTGAAGCAAATAGTTCACTATCTCCTCCTTTCCTAGTGCCATAGCAAGACAGCTTTCACCCTTCCTAAGTCCTTCAACTGTCTGCCCTGGATCACAAACAAGATTCAGCAGCTAAGTGAATAACCCACCATTGTTGCATTCTAACTGGGTTACTTAGTCTGCATCAATGATGCTCTGCTACACAACCTAAAGTTGCTTCTGCTAAACTCTTCTTCCAAATATATAACTTCCTAGTATACCACACCAGGCTTCCCCTACATGCAGATAGCTTGAAGTTCTAATGTGGCAGCTACAGATAAAGTTCTGTGGGCATCGTGACAACTGTAGAGGCTGACTTTAGCAGTATTTCCAAATCATGCAAGTACAGTTGTTTTGCCAAGTAAAATTATCCCGTTATAGAAGAGTATCTATGTTCACCATGTCTCCATATTCACTAATGTTAAAACAAGCCAAGTTTTATATGGTAGCCTCAACTCTATCCAATCAATTCTGTGGTGTGCATTTTATTTATTTCCTGCGTTTTATTATAATCGTGATATTTTAATTTGTCAGAAAACCAAAAAAATGGCCAACATACACAGTGAACACAGGTTAACTGAATGCTGTTAGCTAGAAACAAATGTTGTAAGACATTCTAGGTTTTTCATTTGACCTAGAATATCAGACAGACTAACATTTTCATGGACCTCTGTAGCAAAGTTCACTACCACAGTGGCGACATTTGTCAAACACAACACACATGCAGACAATATGAGGTTTGGCACCGTAAACTTTGTCAAATTGCCTAATGAGACTCATTGCTAATTCAATCTTTTTTTATGGTGGTAACCATAGATGGGGTGAGAACAGCTTTGAAATACTACCAAAACATTTCAGTCATCTTATGCTTAAGTTTTGGGGACTAAGAGTTTTCCCACAAATCCGAGCTCCAAACTTGCCACCATGTTTTGAGTCACTAAAAATGAAACTTTTTGAGAAATATGGGCAAAAAAGGAGCGACAACTCAGAGAAGAATACATGCTTTGCAAGAAAATGGAATCAAGTTCAGTTCCTTAAACATCTGGTTGAAATACAGTGGTACTTCAGGTTACATACACTTCAGGTTACAGACTCCGCTAACCCAGAAATATTACCTCAGGTTAAGAACTTTGCTTCAGGATAAGAACAGAAATCGTGCAGTGGCGACGCAGCGGCAGTGGGAGGCCCCATTAGCTAAAGTGGTGCTTCAGGTTAAGAACAGTTTCAGGTTCAGAACAGACCTGCAGAACGAATTAAGTTCTTAACCCGAGGTACCACTGTAACGTTGACCTGTAGACCTAAGCTGGTGTCCAAGATCTTGAAAATCCATTCCTAGTGTTGGGTAAGATTTCTCTGTCTTTATATCTTAACATACTTCTGCGGTCACCATATTAATCTGATGCCATCCCTTTAGTCGTCTGTCTTTGTGGGCTATATTAACACTTCTACTGCAAAGCCCTAACACTTGACTTAACTGAAGGCATCCATTGTAACAGCATTCTAACAGAAAACATATTCAAGCAGGAAATTTCCAAAGAACCACCATGAAAGTTAAGCTTACTTATAAAGTATGTACTATGAAATATAGTTCATGTTAGGTTAGTTCAGAGATAGGTCCCCCACTAGAGCCAGCATGGTGTAGTGGTTAAGAGTGGCAGATCGTAATCTGGTGAACCGGGTTCGCGTCTCCGCTCCTCCACATGCAACTGCTGGGTGACCTTGGGCTAGTCACACTTCTCTGAAGTCTCTCAGCCCTACTCACCTCACAGAGTGTTTGTTGTGGGGGAGGAAGGGAAAGGAGAATGTTAGCCGCTTTGAGACTCCTTCGGGTAGTGATAAAGCAGGATATCAAATCCAAACTCTTCTTCTTCTTCCCACTAGTTAATTTGACACTCAACACATCTTTCCATCACGCACCCACTTATATATTGGCATGAGCACCGCCATTAAAATGAGAGCATTTAGAAAAGGGTTTTGAAATCTGCAATTCCCCAGATATGTGTGGACTACAGCTCCCCCATCATCCCTAACCACTGGCCATGCCAGTTGGGACCAATGGGAGTTGTAGTCCAATTAACATCTGGTGAGCCACAGTTCCCACCCCAGCTTTAAATATCTCGAAGCAAGGGCTGTGAGAATGACTGGCCCACTACTGCAGAATTTAAGGAAATCCACACCCCATTCTAAAGATACACCCTTCATATTTATTGGCACAGTCCATTTTGGTTTCAGGTATGTTTACAACAGTACAGCACACTCTTAGGGGTTGTTTCCACAACTGTGTAATTTTGTCTCCTTTGAAGTGCACCAATCTTCAGCCGCTTACAGAAGAAGCCATAAAACTTTTGAGCTGGCTGTTAGATTTGGATTTATATGATGGGGTAGGCATTGGAAGATTGAAAGGGTTTCAGCTTTGTTATGTGGGCTTCTTTTTCTGATAGTTATTGGACACAGAATTTAAAAGTAAACCATGGATCTGCTGCAACCTGCCTGTGTGTGAGAGAGGGGGGGAGGGGGGAGATTTAATAATAACTCAAACAGCACCTTCAGCTGCAAATTGAAAATGCAAATATGCAAGTCTTGTACACAGCAGTCACAATCTCAGCAGCCACTTATTTCCTGAAAGATCTTGGTCTGCAACAATTCAGATGTTGAAAACTACAATAATTACTTGAGGTGAGCATGTACCTAGAGACATCCATGCCTTCTACAATGGCCAACACCCTCCACCCGTTAACAAACTACAGAATTCAGGCCGATATATATTTCACACAAATTAAATATATGATATGGGACGCGGGTGGCGCTGTGGTCTAAGCCACAGAACCTAGGGCTTGCCAATCAGAAGGTTGGCAGTTCAAATCCCCGTGATGGGGTGAGCTCCCGTTGCTTGGTCCCTGCTCTGCCAACCTAGCACGTCAAAGTGCAAGTAGATAAATAGGAACCACTCCAGCGGGAAGGTAAACGGCGTTTCCGTGCGCTGCTCTGGATCGCCAGAAGTAGCTTAGTCATGCTGGCCACATGACCAGGAAGCTGTATGCCGGCTCCCTCGGCCAATAAAGCGAGATGAGTGCCGCAACCCCAGAGTCGGTCACAACTGGACCCAATGGTCAGGGGCCCCTTTACCTTTAAATATATGATGTACCGTATTTTTTGCACCATAGGACGCACTTTTTCCCCTTCAAAAATGAAGGGGGAATGTGTGTGCGTCCTATGGAGCGAAGACAGCATAGCCCCGCGACCCTCTCCCGGCTGGAGAGGTGACACGCAGCTATTGAAGCAGCCTCTATAGCCGCGCGCCACCTTTCCAGCTGGGAGAGCACGCATGGAGCTAAAGAAGCCCCGCTTACCCTCTCCCGGCTGGAGAGGTGACATGCAGCTATTGCAGCAGCTCTATAGCCGCGCGCCACCTTTCCAGCTGGGAGAGCACGCATGGAGCGAAAAGAAGCCCCGCTTACCCTCTCCCAGCTGGAGAGGTGACATGCAGCTATTGCAGCAGCTCTATAGCCGCACGCCACCTTTCCAGCTGGGAGAGCACGCATGGAGCTAAAGAAGCCCCGCTTACCCTCTCCCAGCTGGAGAGGTGACATGCAGCTATTGAAGCAGCTCTATAGCCGCGCGCCACCTTTCCAGCTGGGAGAGCACGCATGGAGCTAAAGAAGCCCCGCTTACCCTCTCCCGGCTGGAGAGGTGACATGCAGCTATTGCAGCAGCCTCTATAGCCGCGCGCCACCTCTCCAGCTGGGAGAGCACGCATGGAGCTAAAGAAGCCCCGCTTACCCTCTCCCGGCTGGAGAGGTGACATGCAGCAATTGCAGCAGCCTCTTTAGCCGTGCCACCTCTCCAGCCCAACCCAAAAAACAACCTGAAATGGCTTCTGAAATAACCTGAAATGGCTTCTGAAATATCACAGAAACCATTTAAGTACAGAATGGTTACCAGTGACTTCCAATAACATGTGACCTAATCTTTGCAGCTGCACTAGCATGACTCATATGGAAACCCTCATTCTAAATTGCAAGTTTCACAGTTTTATATCATAATCTTATGCCCATCTACTGAGAAATAAGTTTGCATAGGATTGCAGGCTTAGGCACTTTCTGTAAATCAAGTTATTTGAAAAACACACAGAACTCCATCTATGTTTTTCAGCCACCAACATAATTCATGAATAAAATGTAGTTAACAGTGTTCCTTGAAGCTTTAGTTCCCCTTATCATAAATTGCATACCAGCAAAGGGGAGGGTAAAATTATGGGGAGAAAAATAGCAAGGCGATGGGAGTTGGTTTTATTTAAGTGTGAGCTGTTGGTTTCTGTTGATTTCTCAGCAGCTTTTGGCACCATTGACCATGGTGCCCTTCTGGAGCAGGAAACCATGGTTAATGACTTTTTGACAAGCCTGGGTATGAAGCCAACTTCACAGCATTGCTCCATATCCTGCATTGTTCTGAAGCTTTTAACCATAGTTTCTTGGTCTGAACTAAATGGGAAACCAGAGTTAATGGGAGATTTTGCTTCTGTGTGCTGTCAAGATTAAAAAAGGGAATTATACA